CAACCCCCCCCCCCCCCTCCCCTGTCCAATACTGTGGTTCTTTCTGTGGTTGTGTTTTTTGTCCAAAACCGGATTGCAGGTGTTATCCGATCCGAATCGCCGTCGCCAGTACGACTTGTCGGGGGGCGACGAGGAGGCCAAGGGGGCGGACTACACCCCCATGGACATGGAGGGCATCGGGAGCATGGGGTGAGTGAGGCATGATTCCATGATTCCATGACAAGCAAATGAAGGCCCCACCGACTCTCTTTGGTGTTTCTAGTGTAATAGGTGTACTATAATAGATGTGCGACGAGAGGGGCATGCAGAGATAGACATGCAGAGAGAGAGAGGCAGACAGAGAATATCGAGACAGGCAGAGAGACAGAGAAGAGACATATGGTGCTCACGCTATTTTCGGTGCTGGTACTGGTGGTCCCGTAGTACCTCGGGTCTCAGTATGCACGTCCGTAGCACCCTACTTGTGCGGCGTAAAGAGTGCTCTGGCAGCCCATCGTACGTACACCCGTGACCGGTGTGCTTGGCGTGCGTACTCGATTCTCCTTGCCCATGGTGCTTACAAGGATTCCTATGCATGCACGTGACGTGGTTTGTGGGCAAATGACGGAAGTTCTATCGGCGTGCCCGTTGCTTTTTCAGCGGCCATTGCAATGCAACCCTGCCATCAAAGCATGGCACGCATGCGACCGTCAACGTCTTTTGGTTTTGGTATCAGCAGCAGCTTGTGTGCCACTCCCAGCTTCAGGAGGAATGCGAAGTCAACAGTAGAACGCTACGGCACGCGTATCTATGGGTACTCCCCCCCCTAACCCCTTTCCAACCCCACCTACCACCTTCCTCCTCTTTTGCTTTCTCATCGATGATGACGGCAACCCACCGAGCCGACTGATCCATTTCGTTTTTTTTTTTTTTCTTTTTCGAGGTTGTTGGGTGACTACGACAAACACACGCTGCCCGCGTGAAAGTACAACGCGGGGTTTTCTTTTCCTTCTCTTTTCTTTCGCGGTGGTTGGATAGCGGCCATACACACCGCCCGCGTGATACTCAACTCGTTTTGCTGCTCCTATGTTGCTATTTTGTCTCGGTTTTTTGGTTCGGGTGCCGAAGGAGAGTCGTGGGTGCCCTGATCGGCAAGCTCGGAGTACCCATCCAGACGTCCATCGCACAGTCTAGCCTGTCGGAGGCCTACGAGCTGTGCCAAAACTCGGGCCTCAACGAGCGGAACCCGCGGCTGCTGCCCATGGAGTGTGGCGTGGAATACAAGGTGCGCCCGCCATGATACAAGTCTGCACGAATTTCTTCCTTGCCAAGAGGAAAAAAAAATAGGCTCATTCGAAAGCAGTTTTTCGCTCGATGTATATGTATGGTACACGGCAGATCTTTCCTGATCGATTTGCCGGTGTAACCCGCAGCTGCTTTTTGCTGCCCGAAGAAGTACGGGAGCGGTTGGGGGAGGCTTTCAGCGGTTCGGGGCAGCAAATGTAATCGGTGTCAACTCTCTCAATGGAAGTTGCCTTGATGAGTTTTCGAGTTGCGGGCATTCGGAAAGTGCGTCTGGGTACCACTCCCTCCCCGCACGACCACACCAGTAATTTGCCGCAGCATGGCGCATGCCATTTGTGGTACAACAAAGTGGAAATAACTTGTCCGCCACATGCCGACCCCCCCGTCCCCCCGTCCCCGCGTCCCCCCGTCTCCACCCGCGCGTCTGCCCGCAGGGTACTGTGGAGAAGCAGCAGAGCGTGTTTTTCATGATCCACGTCACGAAAGACATGGCTAGGGACGGCCTTGTGCTGCGATGCACGTCCACGAACAAGAGCCGTTTCAAGCTTGTGGTGAGTTATTGTGGAAGAGTCGGCAAGGCGTGTGGATGTGGCGCGCTCGCTCTTCACACGGCAGTACCAGCAGCAGCAGCAGGAACAGGCCGTCCCTGTACGAGATTGTTCAGCCCTTTCACGAAGCTTATTTATTTTCCGTGTCGAGCCTATCATCCGGCAAACATTGTACCGAAAATGAAGATAGCATTCGCAACACTACTGGTGACCATTCCAAGCGTTTTTTTTTTGTGCCGGGTCGCCTCCTGGTGTAAGCAGTACCCTGCTATCTGTACCGCCGTGGGTTGGTGTGTACTTTTTAGCACGATTCTATTCCGCTTTCAACGCTAGAGAGCTGCCCTACCCGTTGTCCTAAACGTGTAACGTTTCCACATGGCACATCCACCAACAAGGCCTGAAATTTGTTTCGTGTCTCCGTTCGGAATCCAAGTGTGAGTGAGCGTTTGAGCTCCCCTCCCCTTCCTCCCTCGTTTCACCCTTGATTTTGTTGTGTGTTTCAAAGCTTTTCGACAACGCCGGCAAAGCAAGGTATCAGGAGGAGAGCAGCTCCACCTCCAACCGCGAGGGCTTCACCATGTGCTCGCTCTTCTTCGCGCCGTATGAGGTAGGTTTGCCGCGTGAGCGGGTGCGCAGCCAGCCGTATGCTTGGTTGTTTATTTATTTTTCCTTGACTCGTTTATTTCCTGCCCTGCTTGGCATTGGTGTGGAGTGCCCTCGGTTCAGGAAAACTTTCGCCACCGACTACTTTTGGAGAGGCGTCTGCGGTGTTGCTGGTAGTCTCTCGGTGAATGCATGTACATTTTCTTTGTTGACTTGTTGCGTTTTTTCTGTTCTCGGTGAGTTTGAGCTTCTCGACCACCTCGATTGTGGTTGTCGGCGAACGCGTGTGTCATGTCGGTGTGTGGTGCGTTGTGTCTTGTGCGTGTATTATTTTGTTTTGCACTTGCATTGTATTGTACTCATGGTATTGTACTATGTTGTATCGCACTTGTATTGTATTGTACTCAATTGTATTGTGTTCTCTTTTATCGCAGGTGAGCAACGTTGCGGACACGATCAACATCGCGGGGCTTAAGGGGGAGGAGGTACCCCCTATCTTCCACCGATTGGATCTTTTCCAGCTTACCAGGTGAGGGGTTGATGGGACTAATGGTAAGAGACACAAAGGGAGGGAGAGACAGGCAGACAGAGGGAGGGGGGGGGAGAGAGAGAGAGAGAGAGATTCCCAACGCCGCTGCTGCTGCTGCTGCTGCCTCCTGTTGCACCTTGCTTCTCCTTGCTGCTCCTACTGTACCCTTGCTGACGCTCACACACAACACGACGGTGGCCTTAAGAACTTTTCCAACCGTACTGAAAGTGACGTGTCCCTTCATTGGTCAGCCGGTTGCTAGCGCCGTCGATGCTAATAATCGACACGACACGCGTGCACAACCGCGCGTCGTCGCAATCTGCACCATCGAACGCAGCCGACAACTGGAGGAGGGCGACCACCTCGTGGGCGTCTACGGGGACAACTGGCTGAGGGCGGCGTCGTTCAGCCTGATGGCGATACCCCTCAGCCCCAGGGCAAAGGAAGAGGAGGCCTCGGTGGTCAGCGTCGACGCGCAGCTCGTGTCGCAGAGAGAACAGCTGAAGGCCTTCAAGGTGTGTGTTTGTGTGTGTGTCTGTTTCATTAGCATCGACCGGTGTGTGTGTGCGTGTGTGTGTGCTTGTCCGAGGTCCTGGACGGCCTACGCCAAGAAAACACGGGAGCTAAGAAAAAATATCAGGGAGGGGGCACGCAGACCGTATAAAATCCTACCCCTACCCCTGATCCCAAGCCCAACTTAGCCGATTCTATACTTTATCCAGTATGTGTGCTTACTTGCAAAAAGCTGCTGGAGTTTCTTCGGAATAAGGGCAAAGGCTGTTTTAATTTGTCTGTTATTTGTGTTGTGGGTTTCTGCAGCCAATCTGCCGTTTCTTATTCCGCCGCCTGATTTATCTGTTCCTTGGGTAGGGGGACACGTAGCTCGTTTGATGTTATAGCGCATGGTTGACGCATGGACGTTCGCCAGACGTGGCCTGTTTCCACCGAAGCCCTGGTTTGCTTTCATTCCCTTGTTTGGCCTGGGCACCCCCCGCCGGTCACTGGGCGTGGCGTAGTGGCGTACGTGTGGTCCACCCTTCCTCCTCGCCCTCCCTCTCGGTTGCACGTACAGTCTGGTGTCTCTTTGCTCCTGTCTTTCAGTGTGTCTTTTTCTGTCTGTCTGTCTGTCTGCCTGTCTGTCTGTCTGCCTGTCTGTCTGGTTCTCTTTCTCTCTCTCTCTCTCTCTGTCTCTCCCTTTCACTCTGGCTGTCTTTGCGCTTTGTTCATCTGTCTCCCTCCCTCCCTTAGTGTGTCTGCCTAGCTCTTTCTCTTCTTCCCTTCATCTCGTTTGGACCCTGCAACTGCTTACCACCATCCGCTTTTGCTATACCCACGCTCGCTGCAGCCGGAGTACCTAGAGGCGAAGGCGAAGTGGGAGGCGACCCTCGGCAAGCTGGAGGAGCTGACGGCCCACACGACGGAGCTTGTGAGGGCGAGGGAGGTGGTCTACGACCAGCTCGTGGGGGCGTCTCTCTCAGCGTACGCAGCCTCGGACCAGGCGGCGGCATCAGCCGCAAGGTGATTGATTGATGACAAGATGCTCACGTGGTCCATACAGTCCTTTTTTTGGCACGTGGCGTGCAAACGATTGTTGAGCAGACAAGGGAAAGCGTTGTTGTTGTTGTTGTTGTTTTTGTTGCCGTTGTTATTGTTGTCTTCACATGAACCATTCCGTTCTCTCTACCCACTACCTTTTTCTGTCCGTACTAGTCGAACACTTGACGCGGTCGATTCCCGTGGCACTCTCGTATTTATGTACTTCCTCTGTATCATAAGTTAGGGTACCTAAATTTGTACGGGCCCTTAACCGTGTCCGTTCTGTTTTCCGATTTTTTTGTTGAAATCTTCGGAGTTTTTTTAGCAAGAAACATTTATTTTTATTTTTATGCATGCGCCACCCCGCGTGCATGAGCGGCCGAGAAAAAACCAGTCGGCCTGAAAAAGGCCGTATTTTGCATGTATCCTGCCCCCTCCGACCAGGCAGGGGGGGGCGGGGCAATGACAAAAACAAGGCAAAAATACCAAGAATTATCCCTGACCCTAAACCTAGCCCCCCCTCTACTCAACGATCCATGACGCGTCCCCCATACTAAAATCAGCATAATAGTGGCCCCCACACTGAAAACAAGACACTTGGGGGGACCACACTAAAACCAAGACACTTGCGGGGCAAAGCAAGCAACAGTAGGGCCCTCATCCAACCCCCCCCTCTACTCAACGATCCATGTCGCGCCTCCTATAATAAAAGCACTATAGTAGTGAGCCACACTAAAACCAAGACACTTGGGGGTCACACACTAAAATCAAGACACGTGGACGGGTACTTCTTTCCGACACCGTAGCGTTCGCAGATCGGGTCAAGCACGCCCTTGGGAATCGTTGACAACCCCGGCTGAATGCCCATCGCAATTTCTACCGCCATGGCATAGCGCCTACCAACCGATAACTCGGTGCCCCTTTTGCGAGGTGGTGTGCTGGGGGGCGATTCCATCGCTAGAGTGAGTAGTGGGCCGGTAGGGTACTAATATCAGATGGTTTTGAGATTTTTTTCGAGAATTCTCAAAAACAATCCCAAAATATTTTCTCAAAAATATTTCCAAAACAGGCCAAAATAGGGTATATTTTGACCGATATTAGGTACAGAGATAGATGTTTGTTTTTTTATTTTATTTTTTCTATCGCTTCTTGTTTGTTATATCTTTCTAACAAACCCGACTATGCTACCATCACTAACACGGTTGCACCCAGACAATCTATTGCATTTAGGTACCCTAACTTATGATACAGAGGAAGTATATGTTTTTTTTTTTCCCTTCCCATCCAAGTGATTAGATATTGGCGTTTTTTGTGCACGAAGAGGTGCGAGTTCACGTTTGACCGCCTGACGGGTGTGAAGGGTGTGTAGATCATGATTTGTTGTTTTCTTTTGGTCCGCCGCAAGAGCGCGTGTGTGTGAGCCGTCGTTGTTGTTGGCAACCCCAATTTCTGCCCCCCCGGTGATGAATGAGCCAGCTCTACTGCGACACGATGAAAACGCAAATCGCCCGGACTGCAGCAGTTTCTATTCCCAAAAAAGAACAAGTGGTTTGTGAGCAGATGCGATGCATACGTGAGGCTCGCATCTCTTACTGCTGCGACTTTTTTTTCTTTCGTTGTGGCACACGGAGCCCCCTTTGTTTGGCGCGCACGGAATCAAACCCTTGGTTCCGCTGCTGATTTCCCCAATCTGCAGTATGAGCTATCTGTCAACCTTCTTGTGCCGACTTTTTACCTTTTTCGTTCGTTATCTCACTCCTCCGTTCCTCCCCCCCCTGT